AACATCAAATATTAATATTTCGCAACTCATATTTTGGCAGGATAAAAAGCAAATATTACTTTATTATAGCACGCAGTGCGTCATAATTTGGTCTTTGCACATGCGACATGTCCTGTATGGCTGCTAACATTCGTCCTATTGGCGGTGGCAGCTTCTGGAGTGGATCTTGGTTGTAGGTTTGTTTGAGTGTAGGTTTTTTTGGACTAGGCTTGTATGCGATTGGAGAGTTATTCTAGAGTATGCCAATCGACTGCGCCATCTCTGATCTCGTCGGAGAACACAATTTGGCTTCATTTCAATCTTTCATTGAAAATATTACTAAAACCATTATCGCAATCATTTAAATTTATCACAATGAAATTGCAATAATAAAACTGAAAAAAAACAATATTTCATTTATTTGTTTATCAAAATTGTGGAATAATTCATTATTTCTTCTGCGTGTATGTCTCCACGTCTTTCTCCACATCTTCATTACAACGTGGAGAAAAACACAGAAAAAAAACACACAATTACGTATTTACGTAAACCGGCTGTCACTGTCACGTTCGCATTGTTTACAAACCATAAAGTGATGTGAGCTATGTATGCCTTGAGTCAACTTAATTAAAAAAGCTAAAAGTAAAAAAAGACGCACACTAAAAATGCAATTGTTTTATTTAATGATCATAATAATTGATTTATTGAATAATTTTCATTAGTAACATTCGTGATTGAATGCATTGATGTGAGCGAAACGATGACTTTTGATGTGAGCGAAGTGCGATAACTATTCGCCATCGGGTCCAGAATCCCCGCGGTAGACTACGCCGTTATAGCGAAATCGCCCGGCTGTTAGAATCTGCACTTGACGTTGCAATTGTAGAATACGATTGTTCAAGCGTTCCCTCTCTGCTCGCAGTACATTTCTTTCATGTGTCACATTTCCTATAATTTGCAGCATTCGAACGAATTGGACGCGAATATTTCCTGCCGGTCCTGCAAAGTCTGCGTCACGATTCTGTTCCTCTTGTTCACTTTTTTCGGCCATCTTTCGTTGAAGCATTCGATAAAGTCAAAAACGCAGAAGACAAAACAGACGAAACAAACAAGAAAGATGTAATAGCTAGTTTCGTTGTGGGGTGTACTGAAATAAAAATATGAAATATAAACCATGAAAACTTATGTATACTTATACTTCCACCACATAAATCAATCGGTTGGAAAATAGCACCAAATGTTCAGCCTTTTTATATGGCAATATTTCACTGGAATGGTTCGCGTATTTTGTTGGTCAGTTTGCCTTTTTGGCCATATGTGTTCACGATATCGACGATGCTATTGTATCGCTAAACGTCATTTGTGTGGAGACATTTAGAAATACGTATTACGTTTTACGTATACAATGTTGTGCATTCATGAACATATACGTAAGACAAAAGATGGCGCTGATTGCGTCCATCATTTTGATTTTACGTGGTAATAGGATCTGATTGTGTTTTACTTTGAAAAAATTGTCAACGATTTCACTGCGTATTCGGAGGTAAACAAAGAAGTGAAAAAGATGTCATTGGTGAGAAAAAGGTAATCGGATTTTGGTGGCATTTAAAAGTCAAAACAATCGTTTCACAACACGCAATCAAATAAGTGTTAGGGCGGTTCAAATTGCAAAAGTTCCGATTTTCGACCATTCTCGTCGCGATTTTGAAAATTCGTCGAGAAAAAATAAGAATGAGATGGTTTCGGCACCCTCGGTCCATACAAAAATCGGATGCACGTGAATTTTGAAAATTTTCTGTACCCCCCTTTTGAAATGCTGTTTCAAGTATCAAAAATCGATGAAATAGGGCTACTGGTACACTTCGATCGAAGAGTGGCAAGCTGGGTTTTATTCAGCGCACCAAAATACACATCTTTTACCATGACACCAGGCACCTACGGTGGATACCAGTGGAGATAATAGGAAAAATGTTGAAAAAATGGCCAAAAATTCGACCATTCAATTTATTTCATAGGTAACGAACCACCAAAATTCAATTTTTGAAATCACTGATGTGCTATTTATACGTAATTTTCGACGAGAAATCGATTTATGATCAAATATCTGGTAGCTTTATATTATTTTAGTGGCCAAAAATTCGATTGTTCCAATCCAAAATGAGCAAATGACGTCGATGAGCTTCGATTTCATAGCTAATCACCACGTCCAGCAAATAATTTCTACTTCACTGGCCTTGAATTTCTAGTTGTGAATGAAATTCATTCAAAAAATTATTATTGACAATTTTATTGTATACTCATTTCCATTAATATCTGTGATGTCAAACTCATTTGACATATTTCGGGACGCACTCCTGAGAATATAGAGACGGTTTGAATATTGAAAATCACAATTTGAGAATTGAGCAATGTTTTTGGATTCAAAAAACATTTCTTCTTCGATTTTGGGTGATGAAAGGAATTAGTTTGAAGAATATATCAAGAATAGACATAAACCGTATGTTTGCAATTACATTTCGAGATGAATATCATTCTGAACGTTTCATTATATTTTGTTATATCAGCATCGACATAATGGACGGAAAAAAATATGTTTCGGATCCGACGTCCGACCAAATCCCAGTACAGGGGAATGGTTTTGGGAGCACCCGCTCTCCACCGCCAAACATCAAGTGACAAGTGTGTTTTTGTTTCAAATTTTAAGTGGAAATCGTTTGCAGTGAAATAATTGTAGTTTTCCTAAGTTTTATCGATGCAAATAAAATAATTTTTATAAACTGTGTGTTGAGAAATTGACATTACAACTTTATTCTACCTTATTTTTATTATAAAAATTTTTTGGATTATTTTGTATTGAAAAAAGTCAAATTCATAACGGTTTTGTTTGAAGCGCTGAAAGCCCTGAGAAATTGTTTTTTTGGTTCATTATCAACCGACTGAAACGATACCTAGCGGATATGCTAGCCCTTTAAAGTTTATGCCAAAATTGTCCATGGTATTTGCTGCACAGTGGCAGAACGTTACGGGTACGCGTAGCACTACGTTTAGTAATTCTCCCTAGGGGCATTTCTCACACAAACAATTTGAGCAAATGTGCAAAAATGTCTATTATTTCTTCTTTTTTATTGAAATTGTAAGAAAAAGTACTGAAATGACGATATTGCTTGAATAAAAGTGTTCTGGAAGTAGGTTCTAGTGGATCTCAAGGATCGTTCAAAACTGCTCCCGATTCTGGAAGTGGGTTTTGGTGGATCCTCAGGATGGACCAGATCCGGTTTGACAATGCCCTGGCCCATCCTGAAGATCCACTTCCAGAACCGGGAGCAGTTCTGAACAATCCTTGAGATCCACCAAAACCCACTTCCAGAACACAAGTTCAGTGTAAATGAACATTTATTTACATGAATTGGTAAAAATTGATCGAATCGGCCCGAATGGAAGAAATTTTTCAAAATTTATAATAAATATACAAAAAGTGTACATACATTAAACAGAATCTATTTCATACCTTCAGTGACATTCTCTTTATCTTTATCTTGTGTAAATATTATGCACAAACTTGGAATTAACGAATTAATGTAATGTAATAAACTTTCTAAGAACATCTGATCCAGTATTAAACAAATATAAGGCAAATAGATTTATCACAACTTTAAATAAACGAATACCAAATTGTGGTTTCAGCGACGCAAAAACCGAAATATTCTTTAACACCTAATTGTTTTGATTTACGGTCGTACTGATAACACAGATTACCAGACTATAGACAAGAATTCACTCGAAAAAACCTATTATTTAGAGGCTCGCAATTATATAATTTTTTACCAATAGAACTAAAACAAGAACGTAGACTGAATATATTTAAAATTCAACTACGAAATATTATTAAAAACGCTGCGAATCAGATATTCATAACATAAATGTAAAATTGCCATGAAAGAGAGCGAAAGCTAAACAAATAAATAAATAAACATGTTTGCATCGAAATTTGTCACTAAATCAGATTTATTCGTTTGATAAAGTGTTATATGTTCATTGTTTTGATTTACGGTCGCACTGATAACACAGATTACCAGACTATATAGAAGAATTCACTCGAAAAAAACCTATTATTCAGAGGTATACAATTATATAATTTTTTAACCCAAAACAAACACACAACAAAATCATATTTGCAACTTTCTAGGAGGCGTTATAGATAAAGCTAAAAACTAAGTCAATATTTACATTATTTCAACGTATGTTTCGTACTGACGTCAATGAAAATATGTGTATTGTTTTGAGTATATCGAGTCAAAATTTGAGAAGAGACATCGTCTTTTTTATATCTATCGAAACAGTTCCTCAAATTTAAAACCAAGATGATGTTGTTTTCTTAAATTGTAGTTTTGATAGTTATTTTACATTAATAAATACAGATAAATCGGAAAAAAGTTCCGCTTATTCTCCTCTGAAGAGTGTACTCTTTGATTACTGGGATAAGCAGTAATATGGGTTTCAAATTGAAATGTTGGTTCAATGTTTCATTCATTGACGGTATCGAGCTGTACGCGAACACGCGTACAACATCATCTGTGATTTTGAGATTGCGTAGATCGTACCTCTGGTGGAGTCTACCGCTGCTTTGAGGTCAGTGTCACTAACGACCAGAACAGCTCTTTCGTATGCGCTATCATATTTTTTCTCCCTGAGAATTTCAACAAACCTTAAGCTATAAATCACGAAACAGATAAATTCATCACAACTTATCAATTTAATGTATTCTTTTCCGGTTTTTAAGAAACAAGAATAAACTTAACATGTTATTCATAGAACCAGCACATCATGTTTCTATACAAATGCGACCTTGTTCGAACGTATATGATCCGCATTACAGTCACATAAACCTGAAATCGAAAGGCAATCGTTCCGATCAATCACTGCTTGTCGCATATTTATCGCTTGATGCGTATAATATTGAACTTATTGAACTATAATAACTGATCATTGATCAGTGTTCAATGTTCTCGCGAACCGTAAAGATGTTTTCATTGCGAATTTATCTGTTTTGTATTGTGCTAATCTGTGTTGTGAACGAAATTGTAGCTGATCAATATAAAATTGTTGAAACACTTGATGGGAAAGTTCGAGGAATTCAAAAATTAACTCTTCTAAATAACGTCACATTTCATTCATTCAAAGGCATTCCATATGCCAAACAACCGATTGGTGATTTAAGATTCAAGGTTCATTTGAAATAGTTGAAATGTTTGGCTTTTGATTTGCTTATCCAAATTTGGATTGGATGAATTTTATTTAAATAAAACAAAATGTTTTTTGGACTTAAAGTATTTTGTTAATATTTTTCAATGAAGGCACCCGAACCAGCCGAATCATGGAGTCCAATTATTCGGGATGCATTTGAACATAGTGCAATTTGTATACAACCTCGAATTTACACAGAACCATTTACAAAAAGTGAAAATTGTTTAACGTTAAACATTTATGTTCCATCAGGTAAAATGTGTTCAAATTGAATTGTTCAAAATAGAATTTCATAGTGTGCTTTGTGTTTCATTTACGTGGCGATAACATTTTTCACGAAGGAATCTATTTTTTTCAATAAAAATGTCGTTTTCATTCATCCATTTGTAAATGAATCAAAATATTGATTTATTCAATGCCAGTATTTTCTCATTATCATCACTATTACTACAATTTAGATAATGTGAAGCCAGGTGAAAAGTTATCCGTGTTGTTTTTCGTTCATGGTGGTGGATTCATGGATGGTAGCGGTGATGAATACTTTTATGGTCCGGATTTTATTGTTGAAAAAGGTATCATATTGGTGACAATCAACTACCGATTGGGACCATTGGGCTTTTTATCGTTTGACACACCGGAATACTCCGGAAATATGGGCCTTAAAGATCAACGGTTAGCATTGAAGTGGATTAGTTTAAACATTGATCGATTTGGCGGTGATTATAAACGTATTACAATCTGCGGTCAAAGTGCTGGTAAATCAATTGACAGGCTCAGAGCAAAAGAGCAACAAGTTATTGGAAATCTCATATAACTTGTTGCTCTTTGGCTCTAAGCCTACCATTTTTTCTCGTTCTTATTAGAAATGTTGTTCATTTATTATTTTTTCAAGCAGGTGATTTGAGAAATTAATTATGATTTCTTAATTCAACAATATTCGGGAGAATTGAATTTGCTGCGTGTCTAACCGCAGCTGTTCCATAGTAGCTTTCAACAGTGGTTGTTGGTTGTGTTGGTTGCGCGCTACATACACAGTAACAAATAAAAGTCTATATCTTAGCGTTTTCAGAAAAGACGCATTCAGTCGATATTTTTGCTAATAGTTTGAGCTGCAGGCGAAATTTGACTTATGATCCAGTTGGAATTTCGCCTGAAGCTCCCATTTGTTAGAAGAAATATTAGACTGGGTGCCTCTACTAATCAAAATTCCGCTCAATAATTTACGTTATCATTATGATTAATGTGGCCAGATCATTTTTATCCATTTATTGATAGAATTGAAATTTGAAAAAAGATAACAATTGAAGAAGAAAATAAACAGACTTACCTTCGATGTGGTTGTTATCGGACGGATCAAACAACGACGCACCGACGAACCAATATTTCAGCTCTCCCAGCCATTGCTGTTCGAAATACCGGGTGAAGTCCGCCTCTTTCTTCTGCCACTTTTTAATGAAAAGTGCAGAGAGATCATCAAATATCGCCTCTTTAGCAGCCAAATGTAGAACGTCGATGTCTGCATTGATTGATTTTCAATTGTTTTTTGCGTTGGACAAATGACGTTTATTAATATTGCGTTGAACGTGAACGAAGCACATTATCATAAGCTCCACGTTTGCAAATGTCGAAGCAAAACGCATTTCGAATAGCCAGGTCACCATCTGCGATTAGCGTCTTCGGGTTGAGCTGTTCGTTATGGATCAATTTCCCAGCGTCAATCAAAGTTTGAAAGAAAAACGCATAGTCCAACGTACTTTCGTTGGTGACGCAGGCATAGGCAAGCGCGTGGAACTTCTTCGATCGGTCTACTGTTCCTACAATCAGGAACGGAGAGCCTTGCCAATTTAACTTATAGGTGCCATCTACGTTGATACCACGAATCGAAAAAAGCGTGTGTCATCTTCGTTTGAGTGTTCATATCCGATCACATAGGCTTTGTCTTCGTCCAACGGAATACTCGCATTTTTCTGGCCCAAATCGCCAACGGAAATAATTGGTGGTGTCTCGACCAATGCATGTTGTTCAGCTATATAATATCAGATGAAAAACCTCTAGACGAGGTTAAAATGGAGTGACGCTCCTGTACGTGGATTCACCACTCAAAATGACTGATTTCATTTTGAGTGACGCTAGGACGCTGTATTACTGGGAACGAAGTTCAAAAGTGTTTTTCGCATTCACTATT